ATCAATGCTGTCTCTGATTTAGGAACTTCTTTTGAAACTGGAATCAGATAGTGCTGCATGGAGATTTCTGTGACTGGTTTCCCCAGGATGTGACACGTTTCACAGCAGCTCTGGGGACTCGAGGTCAACCTCAGCCAAGCAATCTGCAAATTGACTGAAAAAAGACTCTCGACCCTTGTCCATTCTATTCATCAAGTAACTAGGCCTCTGAAAAAGTAATTCACTCTCTAAATGATATCATATCTTTTCCATTTTTCCACAATTCTATTTGTGTCCCAGAAGTGGAGCAGTCATCTGGTAATCTTTGTTAGGAAAAGGTTTCACTTTTATCACTGATAGTTGGAGGTCATACACCAGTATTAGTTGGAAACAATTGTGTAAATAGCAGTGTTACTGGCACCCGTTTGACTGACAAAGTAGTGACGAGGCCACACTGCTTGTACCAGGTCGAAAGAGAAAGGAATTGAATACAGCAATCCTCTCTGTTGTTACACAGTCTCTCTGTGTATATTCCTGACAACACAGTGACAAGGGTAAACAGTTTCGAATAAATCTGTAGACAAATCATCACATAGAAATCATTAAATAGATTTATGTATTTTTTACATATATTCTCTTTCTCACAGTCAGACTGGAGGGAAGGTTATCTCAAATTTTTGTACTCTGTGCCAAGTTTTCGTCAAGCTGACCGAGAATGGCACCGTTAACTGTAATTCTGTAACATACACTTAATCCGGCACCACAGGTATGAATGCAGGTTTGAATCCCTGATTTACCTTGATTCTTAGTTTGTACGCCCCTCACGCTGAAGATCCGGGTTCGATTCCCCACATGGGTACAATGTGTGAATTCCCATCTCTGGTGTCCCCTGCCGTGATATTGCTGGAATATTGCTAAAAGTGGCGTAAAACTAAACTCACTCACTCACTCACTCACTCACTCTTAGTTTGTAACCACCATACTCATACTTGTTGATTTCCCCAAAGTGGTCTGAGATAAAATTGCCCTTGAGAATCCAATAAATACATGAAGCATTTTCGTGTGATAAACAGTTCTATTTTTAGGTATACCAGACGTTTGGTATCAGCCCTAGAATTTATTAGATTTTTGGTAGTTAAGGAGGCATTACATTTTGAACCTTGGAGTTATCTCCCTTGCAGGTCAAGGCCTGTAAATTGAGCATCTAGAAGGTCAAGGGTGTTGCTGGATTGTGTATTTATAGACCAAGAGTCGACAGGTCTTTGCACTAGAAAGTAATTAACTGAAAAATTGTATTAGCAGGGTATTGAAGAAGCCAAGACCTTTGTGGTGTATCTTATCACAAGTGTAATCAAAAACAGTTATAATCTGGTACCTCTAGCAAGCCAATTTGCTGTGAGCTCTCCCCGTCTTCAACTCTTGTCTCCCCTCTGGAGGCAGCGAAGATTCATGGCCATTATGTCCACGTAATCACGCTCTCATTAAAGGTGTGCTGAATTACTCCCTACATACATGGCCAGCTGCATGATGGGATAGCTGGAGGGAAACGACCAATCAATAACACATACAGACAGATACAAACGCCTGCCTCTCCATTAAACTGATCCAGACGTGTTCTTCACGATAGCAGATGCCTACGGTAGTCGTGGAGGAGAAATATAATGGAACCTGGCCATTCTGATCAATATGTCGTACATCGAGACACATAAAAGGGAATTATGGATACATTAAAAGTTGGAGTTGATCTTACAAACATCATCAGAAAGTAGTTTATCTTCTATTTTTGGTGCCAAGTCACAGATAATAACTAAGAGAACACGTTAAGACTGTCATATCTCGAGACCAGAGTTTGCTTATGTCATAGTCACAGTTAAGTTGAATTTATGGATCATGACTCTGTAGTCTTGTGTTTACTCATCAGATTCTATTGTAGCATAATGAAAACTATTATCCGGAGAACTAGTCTTATCAGTTTCAAATGCAAGTAATTATGTGTGTAAAGGTTGTATTTATGGATCATGACTGTAGTCTTGGCTTAACTGGTCAGATTCTATGGTAGTATAATGAAAACTATTATCCAAAGAACTAGTACTAAGTAAACTAATGTACATGTAGATTATCATTCAAGAATCCCATTTTCTGCTGTTTTAGTGACTCATTTGTTTACTTTCAGTAGGATCTGTGTTAGGTTGGCTATTAAAGTTGCTTATTGTTGTTTAGACACTGAAATTGTCAGACTGTACACGGAGGTGAGTGGGTGTTATGTGAAGGAATTCGAACATAGACTCCTGCTGTCTAGCTGGGGATTATGGGATATATGAACAGATTTCTCCGGGGACTGCAGTCAGCCACACTAGGGCACTTGTCTGTGTCATACACCAACCCAACCATTCCACCTGAACTGTTGAGGAAAAAGGACAAAGTATGTCCATGTACCTCTCGCCGTCCATCTGACCCTGCTATTGAGCTACAATCTGGCTTCATTACTCGGTGGTATTAGTCACTAGTTGCCTGCAGCCAGACTGCCAGACTTGCAAATTAAACCCGTTGAAATTGGAAGATTTTCAGCCACTTCCTGTAGACATTGATGCCAGAGGCTTACTTTACTTATCAGACTTTTCTTGAGACATTCATATTGTCAATTTTAGAGAAACTTACTCTTAGTGTACCATTCCAGAAATAAGTTAAGAATTACTGGCTCAAGTCGGAAGTGGGAACGATGTCAGCTAAGAGAACTTGCCCTGCCTGGAGATCTTGTTTCACATCCCAGCAATATTCTGATTAATACTGTGTCAAAGTCGTTGCCAGACATGAAGCGGTTTCACCTGATTTCACTGATAAAGGGGACAGAAGCAGCTCTTGAACAGTGTTGCAAACAATAATGAAGTTGTTACTAGACGCTTTAGAAGAACTTGAAGCAGGGTTACACCTGATTTCACTAATAAACGGTCCAGAAACAGTCTGCTAACAGGGTTACAAACAATAAAGAAATTGTTACTAAACAGGTTGGAAGAATTTGCAGCAGGCTTTCACCTGCAGGGGTGGAAATAACTTTAAAATTGCTAGTGTACTCCGGTACAGTGGCACATGTAAAATCACTTGCCCTGATAATTTTTACACTATACTGACCGTTTTCTTGTTGATATTTTTAAATAAACAGCATAACTAACATTGGAATATCAACTGGACACCGGTACAGTGTGATATACAAATTTGCTTGCCCGACAGAAAAAAACACACTGGCATTGGGTGTCGGGCAATGGGTTATTTCCACCCCTGAACTGTTGAGTTTACCTGATCAAGGGACCAGAAACAGTCTGCTAACAGTGTTACAAACAATAAAGAAACTGTTACAGATGTCTTATGACTATGGAAAATGTTAGTCACTTTTATATATCCATAAATGTGCTCATTATAACTCATCTCTCCTACTTGGACTGAGTTTGGTTTTACGCCGCTTTTAGCAATATTCCAGCAATAGCACAGCGGGGGACACCAGAAATGGGCTTCATTCATAGTACCCATGTGGGGATTCGAACCCGGGTCTTCGGCGTGACGAGCCAATGCTTTAACAACTAGACTACCCCACCGCCCCTCTCCTACTTGGACTTGTGAGGAGTAAGCTGTAGAAATTCCAAGAATTGTTACAACATTGCTCCAGAGTTCTTCATGGCGCTTTTAGCCCAGATTCAACCATTGTATGAAAGATAACTCAGAAGGATATTTTTTCCTCAAAGATAGTTCACTTAATCTCTTTATAGAACATTAATCACATTTTCTGTCTTTGATACGAGACAAAGTTTAAAGATGGTTTATTATGGGTAGAAGATGAAATATATTTATGATTGTCATCAGCACGTATTGTCTCCTGTATCAATGGGATCAAAGCATGTTGCCGAGATCATAATTAACTGTTGCATCATGGGTAAGAAGCATCGTCTCATGTACAACGTGTAGCCTGTGGGAGTGCAGTCTTGCCACTGTGCAGAAAGCGTGCTGTAGAGGATTTCTTCTAAGTAGCTTGTTGCTAGTGGAAAGACGATAGGGACATTTTGAAATGAAATCTCATGATCGACTTTCAAGTGATTCTTTTTTGACAAAAAGGTCTGAGTTTCAAAGTAAATGATAAGATTGTAAAAAGTTTGGTTGCATGAGAAGCGTGGCTGAACCATGTAACTTGCAGGCAGTGCCGAGGTCTGATAATACCACAAAGCTTGTGGTAAAAAACTTGAACATGTTTCACAGAAAATAAGCTGTAAACACTTACAAAATATCGGCAAAAAATACACGATTTGTTGGCTTCAGGCCATTTTTTCTCCTTTTGATATTGAAATCAGTTTGAGTCTGATGTTAAGAACGGAGATTTTGAAGCAAAAAGCATGAGTGGTGAAGTGAGATGTGTTGCCGTGAAGATGTTGGGTTGGTTGCTGATTGGACCGATAGTAAAACACTGGGCTACAAAGGCAAGATGTAAACTGCCCATAGGGAGGGAGCTGATTACAATTTAACAAGGGTTACGCTTCGAGATAAAGATAATTCCTCTCTTCTGGTGTCCACAGCTACCAACTTTGTGATGAAAGGCTCAGTCAAAAAAGTTTCATTGTTAGTTCAGGATAAGATTAGAGAAGATTCAGCCCTGTTTCTTTTACATATTGCGTAAACAAATGGCCGAGAATATCTGCGATTTCCTCTGAGATGGGACTGGTTTATGGCAATTATCAATAGTGTCATTGTTGAACCTATAAAAGTGGGGATGAAATTGCATAACTCACAGCTGCCTCCGTCCATTCATTCAATAAGGCTGATTCAATTTTCAACTCTCTGAACTTACAAAGTTTGTTTATTTGAGGGCAAGGCTTTTACTTGTTTATTTGTGCCCATCCATAGGTGGCTTCAGTAAACACGGTATGAACTGGTATTTAGTCTCAAATGCCTGGACTCTCTGTTAGACCATTCTGTTTGATTATCTTGTCTAATGCCAGCTGTCATCCTTCACAATGATGTATATTTTCTTGTTCCAGAAACTGGTTTGATCAGCCGCTTCCTGTCGCTGGGTGTCACGGCATCCATTGCCATCACTGTAGGGAGCGTCGTTATCGTCGTCGCCTGCATCGTTGCGCTGGTGTGCTGCTGCCGTAAGTCATTCTGTAAGAAGCCCCAGGATTCGTCTGGTGTGACAACTACAGCTACAACGGTCGTGGCCAATGGGGCACCCCCAGCCAATTACCAAGGTATAGCCACTGACGGTAAATATCAACTTCTTCCCTCCAGCTTACTGCTTGTGTCATGCTGTGTAGCTTCATAATTGTAAATATGTTCATTGACCATAACAAGGTTTCGGTGTAAGTTTGAGTCCCAAATGTCCCCTCATTGTGGTCTTCTGTGCCAGCTCTGTTGCTCATTCATGGGTTTCTGTGTGACCACAGCTGTGGTCTAGTAGATTGAGTGTCTGCCTGGGGAATGGAAGGGCAGTGGTTTGATCCCTGGCTGATTCATACTTAAAGACAAGAAAGGTGGTACTTGTTGTTTCCCTGTCTGGTACTTAACACTGAGGACCCGTGATGATCCAGGTTAGAATATTGATCTTCAATAACCCATGCTTGTCGTAAGAGGTAACTAACGGGATCGGGTGGTCAGGCTCGCTGACTTGGTTGACACCTGTCATCTGTTCCCATTTGCGCAGAACGATGCTCATGCTGTTGATCACTGGATTGTCTGGTCCAGACTCGATTGTTTACAGACTGCCGCCATATAACTGGAATATTGCTGAGTGCGGCGTAAAACTAAACTCACTCACTCAGGAAATATAACAATGATCTGTCTTCATGAGTATAGTATCCCAGTGACACTTGGTATCTCAGTCATATGGTTGTGATGACTTTCTCACATTGTCCTTTCTCACATTGTCATGATGAGACAAAAGTTTAACCGCTGGGCTGCAGTTATTGTTTGTGATTATCCATTGTACCAGTAACATGATTGATAGGTGGAGATTCAGGTCTGAATGATTCTACTGTGACATGTCATACACATAGTACACCAAACTAAGTGTCCAGTGCCCACTTGCTCAAAGATCATAGCGGTAAGACCGTCTTAAGTCTTAAGAGTATGGGCATTACAATCACCGTAGAGCTAAGACCATCTTAAGTCTATGTTAGAGTATGGGCGCTACAAGACCACTTAAGTCTATGTTAGAGCTACCAGACCATCTTAAGTCTATGTTAGAGTATGGGCGCTACAATCACCGTGAGACTAAGACCATCTTAAGTCTATGTTAGAGTATGGGCATTACAATCACCGACTAACAAGTCCATGTTAGAGAGTATGGACATGACCATCTTAAGTCTATGTTAGTTAGAGTATGGACGACAATCACCGTAACACTAAGACCATCTTAAGTCTATGTTAGAGTATGGACATGACAATCACCGTAGAGCTAAGACCATCTTAAGTCTATGTTAGAGTATGGGCGTTACAATCACCGTAACACTAAGACCATCTTAAGTGTATGTTAGAGTATGGGCATTACAATCACCGTAGAGCTAAGACCATCTTAAGTCCATGTTAGAGTATGGACATGACAATCACCGTGAGACAATCACCGTGTTAGAGTATGGGCATTACAATCACCAGTAGACCCATCTTAAGTCTATGTTAGAGTATGGACATTACAATCACCGTGAGAGCTAAGACCATCTTAAGTCTATGTTAGAGTATGGGCATTACAATCACCGTGAGAGCTAAGACCATCTTAAGTCTATGGGCATTACAATCACCGTAGAGCTAAGACCATCTTAAGTCTATGTTAGAGTATGGACATGACAATCACCGTAGAGCTAAGACCATCTTAAGTCTATGTTAGAGTATGGACATGACAATCATCGTAGAGCTAAGACCATCTTAAGTCTATGTTAGAGTATGGACATGACAATCATCGTAGAGCTAAGACCATCTTAAGTCTATGTTAGAGTGTGGGCATTACAATCACCGTAGAGCTAAGACCATCTTAAGTCTATGTTAGAGTATGGACATGACAATCACCGTAGAGCTAAGACCATCTTAAGTCTATGTTAGAGTGTGGGCATTACAATCACCGTAGAGCTAAGACCATCTTAAGTCTATGTTAGAGTATGGGCGTTACAATCACTGTAGAGCTAAGACTATCTTAAGTCTATGTTAGAGTATGGACATGACAATCACTGTAGAGCTAAGACCATCTTAAGTCTATGTTAGAGTGTGGGCATTACAATCACCGTAGAGCTAAGACCATCTTAAGTCTATGTTAGAGTATGGGTGTTACAATCACTGTAGAGCTAAGACCATCTTAAGGCTATGATATGTATATATGTACTTGGGATTATTTTGCTAGTTCTTTTTTTTCTTAAAATCATTTGTTTAACATAAAATTGATGTTTTAAGTCTCTTCCTCTGTTTTGATCCTGTTATCAATGAAAAACAGACCCCCCTATGAAACTGGTTCTAACATATTTAGATGAGTAAGAATTGTTTCCATTATTGTGTGGTATTTTATGCGGATAGTTTCTGGATACTAGGTGCTGAGTACCAGTCTCTGATTGGTTTAAGATCTGTTTGTTTTTGCTGCGAAATCGTTGGCTATAATCATTTAACCATTAACACTGTATCTGTATAAGATATGGCTACATTTCTTGTTTAAACAACTACAAGGATGGTGGGGGAAGTCTGGTGGTTAAAGTGTTTTTACTAGTCAATTTTTTCTATTAATTGCAAAGTGTGATAAATTATCAAACCTTTGCCAAGATAACTTCCAAGCGCAGATAAAGACTCGGTGACTTCCAGATCAAAGGGAAACAAAGTGTTGATGATACAGTCAGAAGTGGCCATTTGCCGCTTCCCAACATCAAACAATACAGTTGGAACCCGTCACCCCATTCCATGCCCTGTTATCACCCCCACAATGACAAAATGAACTCTCCAGATCAAAAGGCAGATCGTTCCACTGTGAAGTCTAGGGTCCACTCAGTATGTCCAAGATAAGGGGGTGTCAGGTATCTGAGCATTGAATGTAGGTTTATTTGGCGCTGACAAACTCTGATGGATTCAATCTGATTGGCTGGCTTGTTTTACAACATGAAAGCAGTAAGCGCTCTCTTATCCTGCCAGCCTACACTTGTCGTTGTATCACCACTCTTGGGCTTATATTACTGTAGCCAAAAACCAGGATCAATTCCCTTCATCTGCAAACTCGATCTGATGATGACACCTAATACAAATATTACATTTAGAAAATAGGGCATGACTTAGATAACTGCCAGGGATTTCACAGAGGCTGCATGTTGTGGCTTGAGTGGTACAGTTCACTTTTATGTAGTGAGTTTATGACAATATTAGGTTCAGGTTGGGCTTCATTTCTACTCATTTTGCAAAGACAGTAAACTATATTTATAATGAACACGTTATTATGAACTAACGGATATAACAAACTAGGGATTTTGTACAGGCTACTGAATGTATATACCGTATATCAGGTAAACTGTTGTGAATACTCAGTGCTGTTTAGAAAGTGGTAAAATGTAACATATTTGGAATTTAACTTTCTCAGTAAAGTATACATTCTAGTTATCCAGGGGTGGAAATACCTTTAAAATTGCTAGTGTACTCCGGAACAGTGGCACATGTAAAATCACTTGCCCTGATAATTTTTCCACTATACCGGCCATTTTCTTGTTGATTTTTTAAAATAAACAACATAATTAACATTGGAAAGTCAACTGGACACTGGTACAGTGTGATATATAAATTCGCTTGCCTGACAGAAAAAAACACTGGACTCGGATGTCGGGCAATGGGTTATTTCCACCCCTGTTATCCTTTTTGGATGCTTTCAGAGTGTTCTGGCAATTATGCGCCTGACATAACGAAGTCAATTCATATTTAAACAGAGATCAGTTCAGGTGTGTCAGTGGTTACATAGTTGCTGCTACACTACCAGTTGAGCACAATCCCATAAGAGGATTTCAGTTCTTAATGACAGTTTCAGTGTATGTTGAATGTGATAACTTTACTGACAAATTATTTACGAGATTTCAACTTGTTTACTCATTGAAGGAAAACCAAATTCTATGGATAGTCAACTCCTTTATTGCAATCAGTGCAACGTTTCGGTGTAGGTACTAACACCGTGATCAAACAAGTTATACAAAGAGTTGTTACATGGAGAATATATGCTCCATATTCTCCATGTTACAACTGTTCCTAATGTGTTAGTACCTGCTCTTAAACATCGCAATTATTGCAATAAAGACGACTATCCATACAACTTGGTTTTCCTTCATCTATACAACTTCTAAAATGCCTCTCAAAGAAGTTATTTACTCATTGTTTTGATCTACTTCAGGTCCTCGAGGTGGAGGACCATTCAGTAACCATGGTTACACACATCAAGGGTACTACCCGATGCAGCCTGTCTTCCCAACACCACACGGCTCGGTGTACTCAGCGTATGCGAAAGATCCGTTCCCGCCTCAAGGAAGTCAGTATTCCTCTCAGCAGTCCCAGCACCGGTCGTACACGCCCACCAGCAGCAAGTCCGGCAAGTCAAATAGGTCGAATAACAGTACCAGTGTCACATATAGCCAAGGGACAGAAAAAGTTTCACTTCCTGTCAATCTTTAGTAAATCCTGTCGTTTCACTTCTGGACAATTTCCTGGGACTATTGTGATTACTTCAGACCGTTGTGATTTGTTGAATCAGTTGTGAAAATGTTGAAGCAGACTTGAATCTGATGCATAAACAATCAGCCATAAGTGGACTGGTTTGGATGAAATGCATCGGAGAACCCTCCTGGTTCGGGTGGCAAGGGCTTACAATGTGTTTCCAACACTGAACTAATGGCCACTGCAGAGATAACAGGCAGACAGTTAATTCCTTTGTGTAGCGATTCGGGATGGTCTTTGTGGATTCAGAACATGGATGCTGGATGTACTGATTCCAAACTGGGTCAGCTGGCATAGAACACCGTTGCTGAACCTGTGGACACAAGTGCTGAGCTCACTGATTCAGTACATCCACACAGATTCTGTGGAATCAGACCATCAGCACTGATCCTGAGAAAACAGAACATTGGAGCCAAGGTAATGGATTGAGAATACTGATGCTGACTTTGTGGATATAGAACATCCTTACTGAGCCTGTGGAATGCTACATGGGGGCCAGGCCAAGAGTACTACAGAACACTCGAGCTGAGGCTCTAGATTCAGCTGAGGCTCTGGATTCAGAACACTGGAGCTGAGGATCTGGATTCAGAACACTGTAACTGGTGAATAATGTTTTCAAAGAGGTGTGTGTCTGAAGCCACAGCACAGCTAGAGGAGACACATCACACCATGATTCTGTCCAATACTGGCTCAGTGCTAAGTCTGTCTGATGCTAGTCACAAGAATGACAATTTGTACAAGGCTACAGATTTGGAGATCTTGGGTTGTTTTTTTTATAGATTCCTCTGCAGTGACAGGAGACGGTGATCTGGACAAACAGAAATATCCTGTTTCAATCTCCATGGAAACAAACTACTCATTATCATGATAATTATTTTCCTCTTTGAGCATCAGGATGTCAAGTGTTGACTTGTATAATTGACAGCTTCCATCAGGCACATCAGATCAAGCCAACACCCCTCAGACTGAAGTGACCCTGTAGTATATTTTGATGAAGATTAAACTAGTTTCTGCAACTGGAAGAGACCATACTGGAAATATCAGGGGTGAAGGGCTAGGACATCAAAGTGCCTGAAAGATGTCTGTCTCTGCAGTCATGAATGGTTCCAAATATCTATCTATGATAAATATTACTGACTGAAGAGAAAGATCTTGCCACAATTTTGATATTAATGGCTTAATTGGGTTGTCCCTAGCAGTTTGTGTATGTGTAGCTGTGTTGGTGTGCTTGCTCTGCAAATCATGTGAAGATGGTTATGAACATGGAACTATTTGTCTGAAGCAATGTGTGGCTCGGTAACAAAGCTGTGGCCCCTCATCTATTTATCGTTCATGGATCATTAAGATTGGAAGTCATTCATATACCCATCACGACGTTCCTCCATGGGCCAATCATTGTAATGACTGATCCTCTCACTGCCTTCCTACCTCCTGTCTGTCTGTCTATAGCTGAAGTCATTCATCTAGGACCATCCTCACAAGTCCAGGACATTTTAAGCACATTAGAGGTTGATGTGTTTTGACACTGAATCTGTTGTCAGTCTCCAAAGAAATGTGTATTGCCAAGAATCGTGAGTTTTCTCAAGGAGCAATGGTCCAGAGGATCATTCATCGTTTACACGGAACTGAAACAGATTGTCTCCCTCTGTATTTTGTTCTACACTTGTTACATGTTATGAAGACACTTTTTGGATGTTTAGCATTTAAGTATACACTTGATAGAAAATATCATTTGATTGTTTAGATGTGAAAGGTCAATTTGTTTGAACAGATGTTATGTGAATTTGGTTTTTATCTCCTCACCCTGATGTCAAATTTGAAATATAAATTAAAAGTCCAAATATTACAGGATGATTCTATGATGGGAAATATGACATCAATATTATTTTTTAATTTGGTGGTCTGTCCATGTTTTGTTTGAAATTCACAAGATTCTAAAAACATCACCTTTTAAATCACAGATCTATTTTCCAACAGCAATGAGCTGATATTATCACTGGGAAACAGTAATTATTCTGTTGTGTTTAAGATTATCTAATTGTATGTGAAAAGAAAAACTCTGTCAAAAGGATATCTCTTTATGAATATGGTTAAAAATGATATTACATATTACCTTTCCACAAATGTGTGAGTGTGTGTATGTGCCATTGTTCACAGCATCCAAGGCTTGTCAAAATAGGTTTGTTTTTGTATGTGCCCAGTTATAAACCCATGTATGACTCTTAACATACTCTCCAGGGTAATTGCGACAAATCAATCAGTGTAGATATTGGCAGAAATTGTTCTTTTGGATGTATCTAGTGCCCTGAATGTTGGAATATTTTCATCTCGGTATTTTACATGTTAAGTAAGTTTTTGTGTCATTTTGTAGTTATTTTTGTGTGTTTCCACAAAAATTAGTTTCATGGACCATCATTCATTCTTCGTGGGGCATGGGTAAAGCAGCCCCTTTAGACCTGGGGATATGATGTTGTGCTCAATTTCTGAGCCTCCAGGCCATTTTAGAATTTTGCATCTGTTGATTGAAAATCTCTTGGATCATCGCAGCAGTAATGAAACAATCAACACTGGCAGATGACAGTCTGTTGTCAGAATTCCGTATTTTGCATGTTTATAACTTCCTGCTGAATCAATTTCACGATCACTAAGGGCACTAAATACGTCTGATATGATATGTAGTTACTTGTTTGTCAAGCGTTGACAAGCAGTCATTTCATGTTTTTGTGAGTCAACATTGTCTTGTTTTATTCAGATCTGGCCATCAATAATTCAGTTGTATTTGCATTTCTGGTTAGGAATGATTGTCATTTTTCCTTGTACATTAATTATACATACGTCCAGAGAGACTAGTCCTTCAGATTGACTGTTCTAGAAATGATTGTGTCAAATCTGAAACAATTCTTGATGTGACTTGTTTCTGACCTACATAAGCCTTTTGATGCGTTTTTTTGGTCCAGACACAGTGAAGTCCTTGTCCATCAATGATGTGGCCACGATGTGCATAGTACGTTAAGAGTAGACTCTGTTGTTTCTTATTACAGCAATTCCAGGCAGAATTTTCTTTTCTGTGTTGCCAGGTTTTTAAAAATAACATAATATTTGATTGAAAATATTAGTTTAGGATTTTTATATAATTGTTTAATTTCTTATGAAAACTTTCTTGAAAGAAAAGTAAATTTTCTTTTAATTCCACCTCTTGTATCTTTGTATTTGGTCAATATTTTTAAAAAGTTAGAAGTCCGCCATGAGGGGGCTTCAGGAAAGATTAAATATATTTACTGTGTAATTGGTACTCAAATATGCTGCTGAAAGGTTAAGCACAACCAACATCTTTAAAGTATACTGCTCACACTTTGCTAAGGATCACAACAATTTCCCAACTTTACTTAAACATAGATTTATAATTTGAAATTGTATCCATTTAGAACTGAATAAATAATAATTTGGTAACCCCTCTTTAGGCAAACGGCCACTTTAATCAAACCTTATGCAGCTGATACACGAGTAACCATAAAAATGGTTTTCATGGCACCAATCAACCATTTTGCAAATCATGGAACCAGTCACTGACAAGTACACAACACCTGTCAATAGCAGGTATGGGATCCACAAGATGCAGTGACATACTGAAACCTAGGATCCATGCTTACAATAAGCTTAGATACTAAACCAAATTAGACCCCACATCATAGTTTTCTGTTGAATCAAATATTTGATCCTTAGCAAAGTGTGAATAGTATACTATAGTAAATGTTTACTGTCCCACTACAGTGACATGAAATAATCAGGTGCCCCTTAACCCTTTTTGTGTAGTAAAACTGCTTCCCCCAATTTATCCTGATTGTGGTTCCTGGTTTGTCAGCTGCGTTGAATACGCTGTTACACTAGATTCACCCACTGTGAAGTTCCAACATGATGGTGCCTAACCTGTTCAATCCAGCAATCTGAGACTCTTTTCTATTGTGTTGACTGCATAATAGATGCCCAGCTTTAAGAAACAACTCTCCACGCTCTGAAACTTACTCGAGGAATTACTATCAGGAACCTACCATGTTATTTTAGAGGGTCCCAGTCAGGAATTTTCTTCAGACAAATTTTATGGTTTTGGTCACTGCTTCAAAGAACACATTTTATTCTGTGACAGAGAATGCCAATCAACAATGTTTGTAATATAACAGCTTTTGGGGTAATTTTGGGTGGGCGGTAAAATGTGAAGACAAATAATTTCTATAAATACACCCACCACCACCCCTTCCCAAATCAAGTGGCTGGTTCCTTGGCAGTACTAAAACAGATTACCTTTAGTTTTCAGTATTGTTTTCAGAAACGCCTATGATACGTGATCACATTTTGGGGGAAATCCATGTATCGTGTTCTATATCTTGTTCTCTTGTTCTTTACTGTTTTTATTTCTTCAAGGTCCCACAATTTTAGCTTTATATATTTTATGTGATTTTTATTGCAACCTTTTGCCATGTTTTAATCCAAAGATGTAATAGTACCATGCACATTAGTGACCTTGGATGACCTGGTTGACCTTCATGTGACCCACTTACATTACTGATATGTATATTACTTTATCTCATCAAACCTTGGACCTAAAACATGACTAGAGGTCTGGTCAGGTTTTGTTTTTGTGTTACAGGTTTTCTGGGCCAATCAGATTGAGGAGTACCAATTGTTAAGGATGATTTGATAAGCACAATGAAAGAAAAAACATCAATGCTAATTTATTTACCTAAGAAGTCATAGTATTGATTCGGGATGGTTGTTTTGTTTTCCTGTAAAAATATCTCTTTAAATAATAGATGCAGAAAATAAGAAAATTGTATCCTGTCAAGTGATATTGGGGTTGGTTTTTTTTTTTTTTTCATTTTCATAGCAAAACTGAGGAAAGGGGCAAGAGTTGGTCATTAGGAAGTAGCATCATCATATGATATATTTTTGAAGAATATAATTTTGTGACTATAGCTTGACAGATGTATACGATGTACACAGCCAGTTCTCCATAGTGATATTGGTGCTCTGCTAACTTCATATTGTCATTAGCCATCCCCGTTGTTTGTTTCTTGTCTATTGGTTGAAATATTCATATTATTCCTCTGTAAAAATTATCATCAGTGTTACAAATCATTCTCAGAAACATTTTGAAACAGGGATGTGAATTTTCTACTATGTATAGATAAAATTATGAAGTTTTTCATTAAGAATGTTTTTGGATTAAAAAGTTTAGTAGTTGAATTTGAAATATTCTCATGGTTTCTTGTGATAGGATATGGTTTCTCATGTTTCCACACTCACTAGTTGCCCAATTGAGACTGACTCAGCATTTAGTTTATCATCACACCACCGCCATGTCTTCGATGTAGGATTCACCTTACAACTAGTGTTGGTCAGGAAAGTCTGACAGAGCGATATGAAGCCATGCTTTTATATATACATTGAATAACTACTGAATTATACTGAATCATGTTGATGTGCATGCTGCATTGTGAATTGTGCAGCAGTTTCCCCATGGCACATGCAGAACATATGCAGATCATGTGAAGCCTATTGATATATGCTTAGTTGTTAGTCATATAGCATCCATGTTAATTCACTGCAAGTGATTCAGATATAATGGAAATTATTAAAGCAAGAAAAGATATTGTTGTATTCAAATTGGATATGATGGTAAATAAGAAATTATGATTTGCTGTGCCAGTTAGCCTTACATAATCCTCCATCAGGGCCTCTACTGCCAAATACAGAGCCCTGACTGAGGATGTCAATGCTGTATGTGTGGCAACTATTCCCAACAAGAGCTGTTATCTGCTTCACAGTGGCCAACGCAGGGACCAGACTATCGTCATGCAGTAGGTTTGTTCCTATTAGATTAACCTCATTTTGAATTATTGAAACTATTTTCTACCTCTAAAGCTAAAGATTGATCCCAAAACAACATCCATGTGTACAGTACTACGATTACTCCAATATAGTTTTAGAGGACCAGCTTTACAACCATAGTGAATCAAGTGTCTAAGGTTCATGCCCCCCTCACTTTTGAAAACGAAATTGTAAATTATAATCCACATACCAAAATAGAAGTTTTCACCACACACCTGTTTCTTTGACATTTTTATTTCACTGTCCTTTCATTGTGGGGTAAACCACAAGTTTTTCATCTGTTCTTCTGTTTATTATTATGCTAACTTTTGTATAGCGCCAATATCCAGCTGAGCTGCTTAAAAGTGCTTTGTTTTTGGTTTTTTCCCCTTGATCACTGGATGTCAATCTCAACAGCATGTCATATTATCAATCTCAACTCCCTGGGGAGCATACAACTCTTGCAGCCATTAGGAGCACCGAGTTAGTGTGGCTTTCCCATCCTTACGAGGTACCCATTCACAGCTGGGTTATCCACATTAAAATCAACTGTAGACAGATTATCAGGAATAGTAAGTGTCTACTGACCTGTGAGATACATATTCATTCCTTGACATTGATAAATACAAGAATATTATGAAATCTGTTCAGAAAATATTTTAGAAAATATTTATAAGCTGAAAATGTACAAGTTAGCGGGAAGTGTAAATATAAGCATAATTGGTGAGTGAGTGAGGTGGTGGCGTAGGATGGTCCACTGTTGAGGTCACTGTGCAGGTCAAGTAGGGACAATCACCAGCTCTTGGCATACTATTTATTGTTCTGTTGTATGTGTACAGAAACACATTCTCAATGTTAATAAATCAAATGTCAATTTTAATCAAGTCTATGTTTTTCTTTGCTTTGGAATTATTGTTGATGACAACATATAGTACTTGGAGCACATAGCCCATGTAAGCTTGAGGTGACAAGAATGGGCCTCTAATAGTTACCTGTGGCAGTAAGAACCAAGGGTTTAGGTGTGGTGATGAACAAACACTGCCATCAGCCACCCAAAGTGAGTGAGTGAAGCAGTATTCCAGTTGTATCTTGCAAGGACTGCCACCACAGGGCTCCACACAGTGTACCACACGTGGGAGCTGAACCTGGTTGGTTGGCTGATTGAGCCAACATTTTAATCACTTGGCTACTTTGCAGCTGCAGAAGAGAAAGTCTGTACACCCTGAGTTTGAGCCCAGCTCTGTTGTGCCATATCCCCCTTGAAGTGATTCACTAAGGTTCTTGGCATCCTGGGTAGACATGGCCCAATAGTGTTTAGGGGTTTGTTTGTCCTGCACAGGTTGGACATGGCTTGGACGTGACGAGGAGGTGACCAGAGCACAAGAGTCTGCTAAAGATTTAACACGTTGACTGCCTATTATGAGTATACTCGTGGTATCAATTTTGGCCCAATTTGCCACTACCAGTTATCTTGTAGCTACATCAGTGGTATTCTAAAACAAGTTTCACATGTTGGCAAAATAGTCACAAGAAACAAACGTCTCCTGACGTTCTTTGTTAAGTAAGTATATTAAGTAGATTTAAGCCTGAATTCATACCGGTGTTTGACATGAATCAGAGTCTGAATGCAATGCTGAGAAACCAATGATTGCTATCAGGATGATTCTGGAATTCATGATCACTGGATCCTGGCATGACTAAAGAACCATAACTGACCACAAGTTGTGGCACTAGGCAACCCATGCTGAATGAAAACACTCATTGATCTTTACAGTGGTCACATGTGCCAAACTTATTATATCAGCTTGAGTGTGTGAATTGGATGTAATGTCACTTTCAGCAATATTTCAGCATCAGCAAAGAGTGGTACACCAAGAACTGGCTTTGCACATGTTACACCTATTGGGAAGTGAGACCAGGTGTTTGATGTGATAAAGCTTCCACTCTCTCCCATGTCCCACCCTGACTGAACAGATTAGTGTTTTTCTGGTAATGTGAAGGTTATAGAATGTTGTGTACCTGGAACACAATGTAAGTATTGCATTCTATAAACGAACTGACCAATATTATTTTCCAACAGTACAATACTTGTAACATATGTTATATTTGGGGTTACACTTTCTTAGTAAAGTACAGGTTCTTGTACTTTTGTTGGGTTGAATCCCATCTGGGATCCCATCTGGGATTCGAACCCACACCCTCAGAGTCAGGCACCAAATCACCAGCACACAAGTCAGCCACCATGACTTACTAAGGCTGACTGACTGAGTTTG